TATAAAATAGTCACTTTCATTTGAATCCTTTGCAGAAATGGTGAAAAGTCAAACTCATAATTCTAGCAATAAATCTAAGGTTCAATCCCCTAGCTCGGCTACTGTGCTAAAATCCAACCTGTTAAGAAAAATACTCAAGGAAATAATGCATCCAGTTCCTCACAGGAGAATAATCAATGCTCAGAATTTTTAAGCTTTGTTAAGAATGTAACTGAATTTAATGATATTTTTGGAATTCACAATAAAAGGACCATGAATAATGTATTTAAAGCTTTCATGCCTAAATTGAGAGAGTTAACTGATCCAGTAGATAAAATGTTCATATTTTTTTGAAATAATTAATGAAATCAACAATATATCTATGTAGTCAAAGCATGCCCTTTTCAAAATAACAGCAGGTAAATTTTAAAGTAAAATGTAAATTGTAATTCACCTTCAGTTAAAATCTGTGTTTTGCCAATATTATTATGAATTTTAATTATCTTTCCACTTATTTTGTTTTTATCTTCACTTTTTAGACGTTTAGGCCACCTATTATTCCATCCCATGATATTTTTACTTCAAAATATATTTTAATTAACTTTAAATGTACTCTTATGCTTATTTAAATATATCCTCGCCCACCCACCAATGCCTGATTTGCAAGTAGATGCACTTTCTTTACAGGATTTTCATTGAACAAGCTAACCAGTAGCTCCATCCCCCTGCACCGAGGTATCGACTTAGGAGGAGTAACTAACTTGTACATATACGAAGATTAATTCATAGCACTTTCACGAGATTTCATCTCATCTATGAGCATTTTCCATGTTATGGTAGGAAAGAAATGCATTTTTCTCACGAGCTCTACACAGGATGTGGCCTATTTGGCCTGTGCGCCTGTTAACAAGTGTTTCCAACACTCGAGTCTTTCATTTGAATCAGAAAGATCGATCTCTGAATCAGATTTTATTTCAGTCAAAGATTTGTGTTCACCGTAAATTTCTTCATCATCTGGCACTTCATTATTGGAAAATTCGTTACCTTCTTCAACATTTTCTTCACCCAAAGAAACAGCATCAAGTAAACTTCTGAAATGCCACATTTCTTCATCATAACTTTGAAAATGCGCCATAATGAGAGAACAAATTCAGTGCGTCTACCAGTACTCAGAATTGTAACAGAAATGCTCGCGCTGGATGTGACATACTCGTGGCGTTTTCAAGATACCTATTTTTAAAACTCTTTCCCTTATTCTTCCTTTCCTTGGGGGCAGTTCTAAGAAGAATCACCCATTAAAAAAAAAAAAAAAAAAAAAAAAAAAAAAAAAAAAGTTAGAGAGAAACAGCGAAAAAATGGAGGGCTGGGTATGACATACTCAGGGCAATCAAACCCGGGTTAAATTAAAAAAAAAAAAAAAAAAATTGACAGGAGGCTGTCTGTTCCAAACGACTGCTGGTGTTTAATGCATTAGACGTACTTTTCACTTTTGTGACTCAAGAATTTTTTTTTTTTTTTAAACTTCTTTACAAAATGTAAATAATATTCATTCTTGTTTGTACACAATTTTTAATCATAACTTATTTTATGCAATATAGAACCATGATACGAGAAATAACAAACATAATTCAATAACTGTGAAGTAATATTTCGTGCAAATGTAAGATCTATAAATATGTTGCCAAGTATACTTGGATAATATAAAAGTACCATGTTCAAATTAAAGTATTGTTTTAGGAAATCAAATGCCTTTTCATTTCGTTTTGAGTCTACATTATAATCTCCCATCATAATGAATTGGTATGCCTATATCTATACTGAACACGTCACCAATGAACAAACTTGACTCAAAGTATCTCATAAGCACACTAAAGAGAAACAATTTTAAATCAGCTGAATTAACATACAGATAAATGTATACTGCTATGAATTTTGTACATCGATAGATGAATTTAGATCAATTATATGTGAAATTGTTGTATTTTTCTCTATAAAGTAACATGATAATCTAGAGAAGCGAAGCTTGCCAGAAAAGTAAAAATACAGAAGCAAGTCTGTTTAACATTGAGTAAATGGTTGTCTCACTAATTTGACAAGATATTGCCAAGCTGGCAACAGTTTGGATGATTAATTTTTGTCGCCAAACTTGACGACCATTTGAAGACATTTTGGTACAGTCCCTGCATATCTGCAATGGATATTGTAATTGAATACCATATATTCCAGCATATAACGTGCACTTTTATTACAAAAAATAAGACCAAAATTTATGGCTGCGTGCTATACACTGGATATAAAAATGATAGCTTAAACATAAGGAAAAAGATTTTTTACATGCACCAAAATGCTGGTTATTTAAAAGAAATAGCATACCTTATGTAATTACACATTTTCATTATCAGATAACGAGAAGAATTAGTCATGTTCATCTTTTGTTACGTCTTCAGGCATATCATCGAATTATGTTTCATCTTCATCATCGATATTTTGTCCCATAAATAAATAATCATTATCCATTCCATCTTTCACAAACACCAAACATCCTTTCTGTAGCACAATTTCCATTTCCTTTTGCAAGGTGAATGGCTTTGCATTTGAAACCAACACTGTGTTGGTTTCTTTTCGTGAGAGCCATAAAAGGAGCACTAGATCAACTGTATTTCAACTAAAGCTAATGCAATATACTTCGATTATCACTTCAAAATCTCAGCTTCAAATGACTACAGAAAGAGAAAACATCTAACTGCTAATATCTAAAAACATCCATGATTTCATTCAGGTTGGGAGTGCGCTACAGTAGTATTCTTCTGAACAGCTGCATTGAATAGCTTCCACCCTCTTTGCTGGAATATTTACTCCTTCAAGAATTTAACACACGCACAAACTATACTGTTCCCCTTATTGCTTGTCAGTGTGCTTTACCAATGTTCACAAAGCTAGGAAAAATGTTTGAATAAGTGATCCCAAAAAATAAGAGCATTGAAAAATGTATCGTTTAGGTGTACTTGTGAAGAATTGGGTGCATGTTATATGGTGAATATACCTAAAAATTAAAAAATACAACTTGAAATTATAGATGCACGTTATATGCCGGAAAATACGATAACTATAATTAATGTTCTGTGTAGCTGTAACAGCAATTTGGTCTTCATATGCCTTCCAGCAATTTCAAGAAGCAGATAATACTAGAAATATCTCAGCGGCTAGGTTAAAAACTATATAGACTGGCATTAATTCTCAGTAATAAGATAATGCAATAAGAATTATAATAATGCAATAAGACCATTAATTCTCAGTTGTCAGTTCAACATGAGTTTGGAGTACTGAGTTATCTCCAGGTTAGCTTTGCTCTTGAGATGTGCATTGCAGTGTGTTTAACATTATTAGCAGTTTGAAATTTAACTACGATTACTGTGAAGAGTTAATCTGTGATTCTGTGAAGAGTTATATGATTATTTTTGTGGAAAGTTCCAGAATTCTAAAGTGTTTCTTTTGATAAAATAAATTTTATCAACTTATCACTAGAGCTGTGTACATTCAATCTGTTACAAACCCTTATGCACATAACAATACAAATATCACTGGCCCCCATTTCTATTATGGTTTAAAGTAAACTTAATTGGATTACAATTGGCCATACTCTTTAAATTCCATACCACTGGTTTTTCGCTGTCTTCAGTAGCTTTCAATCTAAAACCTTCCACCTCAATAGATTTATCCTCACACATCACAATAAAATCGGACTGTTTTATTGTTTAATCTATTGTAATATCGTTATAATGTGTAACCACACTTCGAATATTTAGGTTGTGATAATCAATGATACAATTTCACTTTCATTGTCAATTGTAATTGTCTTGCTCTGGCTTCATTTATTTAAAAATAGTCTGTGATGTTAAAATTTTTTCTCTTCATAGTAGTGTTTTGCTCGTTTTTTGCATAACTTATTTGCTAACAATTTCTTTTCTGTTTCACTTATCTGAATAGTTGCTTGCTCTCTTCTCCATTTCAACAAATTTTTTTGTTGACTCATTTTTATATTTTATTAATTTCAGTGAAACAAAATTCCCAAACTATATAACCAATCACAACCCCATCTAACAAGCAACTGAGACAGAGCTCCCCACCAGATGAGAATGTTAGGGAAAAGGGATTCACGGGCATTCACAGCATGCAAACAGCGTATAACATCAAAATTCCCATAATTTTAGCTAATTTTGCTACTACTAGCTAATACTGCTATGACTGAACTATAATTCCAAATTCTAAAGTTCTTTTTGTATTTTGTAGGGTGCACATTCATCTCTCATATAAAACATGAACCAACTTTCTATGCTTCATACTTGAGGAGATCTAAGCATTTCTGTAATCCACAAAAGCATTACAATTTTTCCTCTCCACAGACCACTATTGAGAAACGTAAATCTACATTAAAAGTTAAAAAAAAAAAAAAAAAAAAAAAAGAAGAAGAAGAAGAGAGAGAGAGAGAGAGAACATTTTTAATCTACTGGTTCACATAGCAAAATGGAACATTTAGTAATTTTTAATGCTATTTTAGTTTTTATGCTTCAAAAATTAATTTTCATCAGATATATGCATATGAATACAGAGTATGAAATAGATTTTTCATTTGAATTTAAAGAATGTTTGGTTCATTAATTATGGCACATCACTTGGCAGGTAACTGCTTATGGCAGAGATGCCTTCATGAAAAATCATTTAAGTGCTATTTTGAGGGGGGGGGGACTTTGCTCTACAGCCAGGAAACAAACTGAGGATCACTACTAAACCTGGATATTCCACTGATTTAGCCCCTTAGCAACAATGGGTAGACTTCAAAGCATCAGAAAATGAGCTACTTTAAATTACCTTTTCAATTTTATACAAGTCTACATGCAAATAAATTAACATTACAGCTTATATTCATATTGTGCAAAACAAACTAACAGATAGGCATATGATTGTTGTATCATTTTTATACAAAATCTACTCATGCATGAAAAACTGATTTTCATACTTACTTGACTGTTTCTGAAAATTCTTCACGTGAAGATGAAGATGAAGCAACTGATATAGGCATACTTTCTGAAAGCTCTTCAATTTCTTTAGCAAGATCATCGATAGTCTGTTAAAAAAAATATTTATGTTTTTTACAATAACACATACTACCTCAGAGTATTTTTCATATTCGTTATATATGTTTGAATACACAGAATTAAATAATTTTGATATAACCATCATGGAGGGGAAAATTAAGATATAGAAACTTTTAAAAAATTAAAAACATAAATATCTCTAAAAAAATAAATATGGAATGGTTGAATTCTTGAATCACAATTTTCAAGTTTACCTTCTCCATAAAAAAATATATGTTTTAATTTAAAACCTACAAAAGACTAAGATTTAGCAGAAGCTATAATTAAAAAGAACATAATTACAGCCATTTCAGCCAACCTTGATTATCAGTACTACCTGTGGTCACCCTGAGTGGATATTCTTAAATTTCCTGAAAGAGAATTCACTGTTCTATATTAAGTGTTTATCTATATCAACTTTTTAATAATCCTGCCCTCTTTACATTTGTTTCGATTTAAAAAAGGTTGTGGGAAAATGCAGGAAGTCTGAATTGTTACTCAAATACTTTTGTCAAAAGAAAATTGACTCAAGATTTTATCACACTTGATTTTCAGAGAATAATCATGAAACAAAACATTACAAAAGTTAATGGCACTGCACAGGTAAGCAATGCCTAAAAAAAGAGTGCACCTGTGACAGAAACTGCATTCATAGATCAAAAATTTCTTTTTCAACTACATTACATTTTAATTAATGTTGGCTGGGTAAAATGACATCAATTAAATAATGTGAGAAGTAATTAAATATTTGTAATAATGCAATATTTCATTGGAATAATTTTATGAGGGAGGTTTAGTCAAAACATCTGATCACATATGCTACAGACCTAATAGCAGAGCCCAATAGAATTGTCAAAATTGATGAGAATCTCTTTAAAGAAAAATTATTCTGGAAGTATCTTACCTAAACAGTAAGTACTTTCTGGTTGAATGTCTTGTATATCTTTTACTGTAAAATCTTTTTTTGTACCCTTGCATATAAAAATTAAGCCTGAGAGGCAAAAATTAGCATAAAAGTGGAACAAGGCAACAGAACAGACCAAAAGACCAATTAATAGATTGACTTCGGACCAATACAGTTATGTATAGACATATACTGTATTTGACGGCATATATGACGCATTCTTTTTTCCTAAATTTGGTCTCCGCTACCTGCGTCTTATACGTAAAGGACACAGGTTAACTTTCAATACTGAATGCTATTTTTAGCCCCGATAAAGGTCCAGACACACATAACTTTTCCTACCTCTGCCATAATTATATTGCGCATGTGTGAAATATCTGTCGCCAAAAAGCGCCAAAGCTCGAAGCTGATGTCGAAGTTCGAACAGGTTCGACAGTCACATTACATCTATGGAGCCCTTCCATCTTTACATGGAAACACTTTACTTTACATGTAAACACCTTCTTTACACCTTTACTTTAACTTTCTTTGACTCAGCCGATAAACGTGTCGGTATTGGTGCTACTCTGTATAAACTTGTCGATATCGGTGCTTAACACTATTTGTTTAAAAAAAGTACCCTGGAAAATATGACTACACAAAACAAGAAATTAAGCTATACAATTAAGTATAAACTAGGAGTGTTAAACTACGCCAAAGTGCATGGAAAGAGAGCAGCAGCAAGGCATTTCGGTCCACCACTTACCGAAAAAATGATATGTACTTGGCGACTGCAAGAAGATCAACTGAAGACTGCTAAAAAACAAAAACATAACCTTCGATGCCCAGCTCCATCTTGGCCTGAACTTGAAAATGCCGTAAAAATGTGGGTGATAGATAAGAGAAAATCTGGGATAAGTGTTTCAACCAAAATGATAATCAAAGAAGCCAAAGGATTTGCAGAAAAACATGGGAATCAGAACTTTTCAGAGTCTGAGGGCTGGTGCTACAGGTTCATGAAAATGCAAGGCTTATCAATGCGCACAAAAACAACTATTGCACAGAAAATGCCAGCAGATTATGAAGGAAAAATACTAGCATTTCATAGGTTTGTTATAAATACATGCAAGAAAACTTCTTTTGAGCTCGGTCAAATAGAAAATATGGATGAAATTCCACTCACATTTGATGTACCATCCAAAAAGACTGTGATTAAAGGGTCTAAATCAAAAACCATAAAAACCACAGGTCATGAAAAAACCCGATATACGGTAGTTCTAACATTTTGTGCTGGTGGCACAAAACTACCGCCGTTTTTCATATTCAAAAGAAAAACTCATCTGAAATAAAAAACTTCGAACGGGTGTAATTGTTCATGTTCATCCGAAAGGCTGGATGAAAGAAGCTGGAATGAAACTGTGGTTACAGAGCGTATGAGCGAGGCGACCTGGTGGACTATTAAGAAAACCCTCTCTTTTGATTTTGGATCAGTTTAGCGCCCATAGAAATGAAGCCATAAAGCAACAGAATTAAAAACCCAGATAGCTGTCATTCCTGGTGGACTGACTAGCCAATTGCAGCCTTTAGATGTATTGGCGAATAAGCCATTTAAGGAAAAAGTGCAAGAACGATGGAACAAGTGAATAGGTGAGCCACATCCCGCCCTCACACTCTCAGGTAGAATGAAGCGGCCCTCTATTTCACAAGTGTGCGAGTGAGTAAAAAGATCTTGGGAGGACGTAAAGGCTGAAGTAATTCTTAAATTCTTTAAGAAGTGTGGAATCAGTAATGCTCTTGACGGAACAGAAGGCGACGCATTATTTGAAGAAAGTGATACTAGCGATGATGATATTCTCGTTTTCGATGATGATGATAGTGAAAAGGAATTTTATGGTTTTGAAAGTGAGAAAGTCTAATTTCATGACAGACAACGTTTTCCTTGAATCTGTGTTTTTTGTTGTTTCTGCTTTATTTTGTATTATGTTTGATCGCTTGCCGTTCATTCATTTATTCATTATTGAAATTTACACATCATGTTCAAAATAGCTTGCTGTTTGTTAATCTTCCTTAATAAAAATACGTTTGGTAATTCCATTCAATGATTGTTTGTTTATTTGGCTTTTACGAAATGCGAGAACTAAAAGAAACCACATTTTAAGTTATTGTGGTCCCGCGCGGACAATTGAAACTTTTTTTTCCTTGTGTGAGGTTTTCTAAATAAGGGTGCGTTTTATATGCCAGTGCATCTTATATGCCGTCATGGAAGGCAAGTTTTTATCTTTTTAATGGCTTGCCTTGCTCTTAATATCCAATATTCTGAACGAAGCTGAGAAAGTACAATCCGAACACCAAGATGATGCATTCATAAATGTGTTTGGCGTATCAGTAGGCTTGTAAAATGATGAGAATCTTCCAATAATATGGGATGTTTTTCAGCATGAGATAAATAAGAAAATTGTAGTCGACCACCAAGAAGTATAACATTGTTCTTGAAAAAAGGATTAAATTTTTTTATCCTTGATTTCTTAGGGAGTGATTTTCCTGTCAACAGAGCTTCATATTCCGAAGGAAAGAATTCTTTCTGAATGGTCTGTATCCAATAAATACGAGCTTGATTTAGTTCTGTGGCATGGAACTCACCCACTAACTTTTCTTGTTTCCTATAGTTGTGAATAAAGCGAAGAATCCAAAATGTTACACGTAACAATTGAAAGTAAGAACTGTAGTTTCTCCCCTTTATGATTGGTTGAGTAGATACGATGTGAAGGGTCCGAACTTTTTCTTTCTTTGCCTCTAAGTTATGACTGTAATCTTTAGAAATAGTATCAGAATGAGTCCAATACTCTGGAGATTAGACTAATCATGGAGGGCAGTTCCACCAAATTTCCAAGTTTTTTAGTGTTGATGGTGAAACACCTCCAGAAAGTTTGTCAGCTGGATTGTCTTTGCCAGGGCAATGTCTCCATTATGAAGGATTAGTATAGGAAATAATTTCTGTTACTCTGTTGCTAACAAAAGTTTTCCCCAATTGTTGGTGTCACTGTGCGTCCACCCTAAGACAATTTGAGAATCACTCCACAATGTTGCATTTGACGAACAGATGTTTGTTTCAGCACAGAAATACTGCAACAATTGTGCTCCCATCAGGGCCGACAAGAGCTCCAAGCGAGGCAAGGTAACTTTCTTTATACAAGCTAGTTTGTTGCCACTACACACTAAATTCATATTCTATTGGTCACCTTTAAAGGTAACAATGTACAGAACTGAACCATAGGCACGTTCAGATGCGTCACAAAACACATGAATAGCAAAAAGGAACATGTGATGAAATGCCTATGCATCGAGGAATTTGAAGGGAGCAAATGTCATCAAGTTCTTTTACAGCTGCATACCATAAAGTTGATAAATTAGCAGGTAGTAATTCATCCCACTTGATTCCAAGAATCCATGTATCTTGGAATAAGATTTTCCCAAGGATAGTAAACAGTGAAAAAAGTCCTAAGGGATCATAAAAACTAGTAATGCAGCAGAGTAACCATCTCTTTGTAAGTGATTTGACTGTAGAAACACAGTGGGAAGTCTTGAATGCATTCTTCAAAGTATCAGAATATTCCAGAATTTGTCCATTCCGCCATACCTACCTAAAACAGTTGTTTCCGTTTTGTGAGATTCTTCATGTGTTTGTAGTACATCTTTGAGTTTCAAAGAGTTTGTAGCCCATTTTTCCATAGGCAATTTCATTAGAGCCATTAAATTCTTGATCTCGTGATATAGCATTATAATGCGTGATTCAGTTTCCATACTAGCAAGAAGTCATCCATATAGAGATGTTTATCTATCATTGGTGCAGCAGCAATTGGAAATTCTGCGATATGTTTTGCAGCCAATTCTCGTGTTGCAGCACAGAGTAAAAACGGACTGCAAGTAAGGAACATGTGATGAAATGGTAAACGAGTAAATCTGTAAACAGTTATTTCATCTGTAAAAGTAGTAGGTTGAGATGAATCAGATTTTAATTTGTACTAAAAAAATTTTGTAGTCCCTACTTCTTTATGTAGTGAAAACTGTAAGAAAGCAATAGTTTCAGAAATCTTAGAACAACCAATAATTTCAGAAGATTCGGGACAGCTTCCAAGGTATTGCTCAGTGAAGTGATTCCTGGAGCATGTGAGGAAGCGTCATACACAATTCTCCACTTGGTTTCAGATTGCGTTTTCTTTCTTACAGCATGATGAGGAAGCTGAATCACGCATTATAATGCTATATACTGGCTTCTCATTGGATTCATCTATGGAACAAACTTCAACATGCTTTTGTTCAATGTAATTCAACATGCATTTGTCATATTGTGTCTTTAACACATCACTAGATGCAAGTCTTTTTTGAAGAGAATAAAATCTGTTTTTTGCTTTTAATTTTGTTTGTAGGCAAAGGTGTGACCAATGGTTTTCTAGGCAGAGACACAATTCTTCGATTGTCTTCAGTGTTGTAAGTTTTGTGAAATTTCTGATAAAATTTTCTTCATCTGCGAGTAGTCATTCTTCGTTTTTCTGCGCATCTTGTATCTCCCTATGGAGTCTAATTCCCAGAAGCGACGTACCTGATCATTTAAACAATCAGTTTTAACTTGCACACAAACTTGATGGACAGAAGTCTTCTCAGTCTTCTCAGCGATTGTAGTATTTGTTCTTGTTTCCACTAAGAACCCATCCAAACACTGATGGTACCATAACAAAAGATTCTGAAAGCTTGATTGGAGCTTCTGCGGAAACAGTTTGCCAATAATGATCACCACCAATAAGTATTTCTATGGGCAGTGAAGAGACATCCGGTGAATCAGCAATTCTCAATCTTTTCTTCTGAGCAAAGTGAATTATTTCTGGTAGAGCAGTAGGATGTGTAGTATAGGTATTGGAGCCTTCAAATGCAGAGATTGAAAATGCTTGGTTGCACCACAAACTTGAAAGTGAAAGTTGAACACATCTACGTTGTTCTTGTGAAGTAAAAGATTCAAATACTTGAACTGAAAGTGAGGCAGAAATGACAACTTTAAGCTTAAATTTTTCAATAAGGTTTGTGTGAACAAAATTTGCTTGGCTACCACCATCTAAAATGCAGCGTGTTAATTTAGTAGTGCTTGTGGGGCCAGTAACATATACACGTGCAGTTTGCAAATGTGTGAAAATTGTTTATGAAAGGTTATGTGATTTACAGCACTGTTAGTTATCCACAGTTAATTATTTTCAACAGGAGGACAAATAGAAACATGATGCCTTTTCTTGTATTTAGTGCATCATGCAGTATTTTTTCTTGGGCAGTTTGGAACTCTATGACCACGGTTAGTACACAGAAAGCAGCGATTTGAAGTTTTAAGTTTCTGAACATGAGTATCATAGTCTGTAACAGTTTCACAATACTGAGGCTAATGTCCTGTAGTATCACAAAATGGCGAAATTTTCGGCGATTCCAGATTAGGGGTTTTTCCAGATTATGTAGATCATCAATTTAAATCTGGTAAGATGGCATGCAGAAATTATATAATTAAAAATATGAAACCGTAATTTATGAAATAAAAGCAATTATGATCTAAAGGGTATCAAAATTTCCAAACAATATATATATATATATTTGTTTACTTTATTAAACATTTCTTTCAATGTAAGATTCTCTCTTCTATAAACAGACATAATTTCTTGTTCGGTTACAAAGTTCCACTGTTCAAATAATGTAATTGCTGTGTCGAGAATGCCGATTAACTTGTCAATTGAAATTTTTTCATTTTCAATAACCTCTCTGTCACTTTTTTCACTATTGGAAGCGTAATAAAGAAAATGTGTACATGTTTTACTGGCTTTACGCACATGCGTAGCGGACACGTGCATTAAATGCGCATGCGTAAGATTGCGGCTTTGAGATCCGGATTATAAGTCATTCCGGATAATAGATGTCCGGATTAAGGACTTTGTACTGTATTAAAATTTTGTACAGTGCATTTTATGGTGTGATTAGAAAAAGATGTACCTTTAACTCTTTGTGCTGCAACTACACCTTCCACTTCTTCTGCCAAGAACTGCATCAATCTAGTAATATTACGTTCGTTTAGTTTTTCACGCTTGGGATAGATAATCCAGCGGTAACAAATATCATTGGTGAATGCACGAATAAGTTTTGCACTAGGATTCTACCGTATGCTTCAATATTTTCACCCGGAGCAGTTAAAGCTTGAATTCTTCTGTTACATTCTATGTAAAGACCATTTAGATGCATAGGAGATGGGTCTTGAATAACATTTAAATGTTCTAAGTAATCCAAGTGTGATTGGATAATTCGATCTTTATTTCTGTATCTTTCCTCCAAGAATTTGTTTTGTTATTTCATGCGTCTCCTATTACACTAATTCCATCAACAATGCATTTAGCTTCACCATCTAAATAACCTTTGAGGAAAACATGTTTATCAATAACAGAAAGATGTGGATTGGCATCTATAGAAGATTTAAACTGCTCCCAAAAACATTCCCATTGTTCAAATTCTCCTGTAAATGTTTGTAGTTTAATGGTTGGCAATTTAACTGTATATGATTGAGTCACAGGCACTGTAGTAGAAGGGTCGCGATATGTCATCATCAAATCATTGGTATCCATATTCGAAGCAGTAACATTATTTGCAGTTGGCGATAATTTGTTCTGAATAACTTTTCGTGTTTTGAAAATTGCGGACTCACCAGTATCTATGTAGTTTTCCCACTGCAAATTATCACTTTCATATTTATCGTCAGAAAGGAAGTTGTGAATTTCGTTATCTATCAGTTTCATATCATTTAAAGCAGTTGTTAAGAGATTACAACTATATTCAACCTGCTCGATTGAGAAATCATCGTTCAAAGTATCATTTTTAATAGAAAAACGAGGAACATTACTTCGCACAGCTTTCCGCCTTCGTTTCAGTTGTGTCATTTTGTCTACAGCTTCACCGGTCGGCGCCATTGCCGGAGTAGTAGAAAAGAACAAAAAACAAAACTAAGTTTTAATGTCGAAAGTAAAATAACTCAGCAAAAATAATCCAACAGTAGGAAGTATAAGTTCCTGTTTTGTAAATGGTTTTTTTCAGCACCAGATATATTAGGAAATAGTATTTTATGCTTATTTATTTCCTAACATAAAAATAAAGTATAGAACAAGAAAAAACATTTATGAATACAGAAACGTAAGTGATGCCATTCACAAAAGGGTAATGTTATTTTTAATAGTTCGCTGGCTTTGCCACAACACCATAGTTGCTCTATCACCAAAAGAAGCTAAGTACATAGCAGCAATAGATCGTGTTAAAGAATTTTCAGATCTAAAAACATTTTTTGAACAAATAAATAAGACTATATTACTAATTTAAATACTGAAAATCAGTATTTAAGATTGGAATTTTTAATAGAAAAAGTAAACATAATTACAGAAGGTATTTTTTGTCAGAAAAAGTTGTAAAGATAATATTAATTAATTAATTTATTTTTTGTTACAATAACATAAGAGAAATGCTTACAAAATCTTCTGTTAAAGTTAAATTTAATATATTTACAAATTATTTAGTACATGACAAACTTTATTACGTAGTTGACTTAGAAGGTATGAATTAAAAAGCAAGCATATTAATGTGTAAATATGATTTAACTTAGTCAATTTAATAAAGAAAATAAAAATTAAGTTAAGATATTGAAAGGTAATTTTTCTTTAATAAATTATTTCTGTATTAATGCTCCATATTTTAGCACTTTCTCTGTAATATAAAAGGTTTATTCATTTGGTATTCTGTTATAAGATGTAATTATGTAAAGTAAAATACATAAAACTAAGCATGTTCTTCTATATATGCACAAAATTTTCAACATTATGCATGAAAAACAAAATTATTGCAATACTGAGTACCTTCAAAAGTTCGCTTTCTGCAAGTTCAATGTTTTCTTCCAAAGTTGAAATTTTCTCATTCGATTTTTTCATACTTGGCACTTTAACAGCCTTCGGTCCCAACTAAAACAATTAAGTAATATTTAAATTTTTGCAAGTATCTCATTAAAAAAAAGGGGGGCTATAATGTTGTGTAATTCTTTATTTATTTGTCATAAGTAACTGAAATAATATACACAGTATATAGAATATACAATTATATGTACTATATTATAATCTTTTCAGGTAATGATGCAAAAGAAATTGTATTAATCATGCAGAAGATATATCTAAAAACCGTAATTTCTGAAGGAATTGCAGATGCCAAAATAAATAAGAAAGTAAAAAGTATTTTTGCATTTTATTTAATATTTTTTAATTACAAAGCAAGCATGATGGTTACAAATACAAGACATCTACTTCTCTAGTTTAAATAAGTTGTTTTTAGGCTAGAAAAATGATGAATGTTTTCAGACTATAACATCTTAACTAATCAAGGAACTATTTAGCTGCATCCTGAATATTTAAAATATATAAGCTACATTATTCGAAATTTGGTGTTAGCAGAAAACTTATATACACTCAACTCTCTCTTTAAGATGACTCCTCAGAGTTTCATATGCTTCACATCTTGATGGGAGGTGGTCTTATTAGAGAGATGATGCTCAGCACCAATATTTATTTATGTTCTAAAAATTACAAGTTACCTTCAGAAGTGGTGGCCAAGAAAAGCTTCACTGTGACACTTCACTGTTCTAACAATGATAGGTGCCTCAGAAATGGGTTTCTACTTCCCATGAAAGACATTCACAAGTATCCAGCTCTCAGCAAACTCCCAATTTTTTTAGACTATGGAAGTCGCAGGACTATACTTGTTTACATCTGGTATATAACAAGTGTCCCTGTCCATTATTATCTATGCTTTATGCTGACAATAACATGCATACCAATTGCTTGATAAGTTTGCAGATGTTGTAAGTACCTGGCATTTTTCTAAAAGTAATGATAGGTGTACTGACTCCTCAAAGAAAGTTACAAGGTCAAGTCATATATATTAACATAAACAGACTTACTTTAATATATACAGCAACTCTGTGCAGCTATTTTTATCATTTTACATTTTGCAGCTAAGAATGTAAGAAAAACTGTTTGTACATATATACCAGTACGTGGGAATTTATATTTGTTTATGGAAATGTATACCTACATATCCATGTAGTATGTATGTCTGCATTGATATAATATAATATAAGTGCAGATATGTACATAAAGTGGAAAGCATTCATACCCTTAAATGTGAATAAAGTATATACAGACATGTACATGTACACACACAGGCACACATATGCATTTATGTATATGTGTTTGCATGTGGATTTATGCATACATATATAAACATACAGATATATCTATGTGTATATATTTCATCATCAAGCTCTTAAAGGAGTTTTCATATTTCTTCTTCAGACAGACCTCTTTTCCTTTTCGGCATATAGCTAGAAAAATGACAAAATAATTCCTAAAAAATTTACGAAAATATTCATTATTCTAAAGCAATGCAAGGATCTGTTTACAAGTTACAAACGCAGTTATCGCACATTCTGTAGCTATGTAGCTACAAGAACGAAAAAGGAAAAATTGGGAAAAACCGGATCCTTAACACAAAGATTTCTGAAAGAGATAAGTGGTTAAAACCCCAAGGATGTCAAATTTGACATTTCACCCCACTCTTTCGGCCTGGAAAATGGGGGAAAAAAGACAAGGCTACTAAAGTGGACAATCCCATCCTTTCAAACAGAGGACTGTATGGCCACTATAATGGCCATCCCATCCTCAAAAGGTTAATGCAATGAACTAACTTAGTAGGACAGCATTGTTTTTGAATTATGCAATAAACAATGAAATAATGCCAAGAATTAAATTCAAAGCATATTAACTGTTTTAATTCTATACATAAAGTAGCTAATTTTTGATTAATATAGTTCAACACTTACATGGCTAAAAAATGCAATCAGCATGACGCACATTCAACTCAAAATAAAAAAATCTAAACAAATTTTCTATGGAACAGATAATTATTAGAGATTTTATAAGATAAGTAACATCTTTCTTCATATTTACTCAAATTTTTTCATAAACAAGTTCTGATTGATCCCAGAAAGATTATATATGTGCTATTATCACTAAACTGACTGCAGTTACTACCACATTGTTTTGTTTAAAGATGAAAATGACTATTTTGAGAACATAAACATTGATTTTGAACATCACCTCTCTAAGTTTACTATTTCTGCAGAAGACCAAAATCATATTGAATTGTAGGCTTAGAGAGGATAGACTGTAATTATTTGGAAACTTTTTTCATATATAAAACATATATATTTTTCATATATGTACAAAAGGTGCTTCTTAAAATTACATTAATTATGTCTTAATATTTTATAAACAAACTACTTTTTTTTGGTAATTCTTTCCAATTATAGTGAAACATCTTTAAGTCAACATGTTGTAGAGTTACGCAATTCATTTTGAGTTATCAAGGTAGAATATATTTAAGATTTAACTTCTAATAACTTAAATTTCTAAAAGCAAATATAAAAATTTATGATTACTGTAAACCTTCTCAAATGGTCTTTTCAGTCACTTTTGAAAGCAATAAATATTTTTGACAAAATAATAGGAATCATAGAAGACTGAAGTCACCTGCAGCCATCAGTGGTCACCTTAGAAAAGGTTCATTTTATTTCTTACTTCAGTATAAAGAATTATATAAGAAATGAAGGAGAAGAATTTAGTTTGGTATAAAATCAGTTTAAAATTTTTCACAATCTACTTCTGTACTAATTAGTTAAGTCTTATCATCATATTTTGTCACATCTTGTCTTATCATCACATGATAAAAATTAATGTTTCACTTTCTTATAGCGATATAGTACAGCATGAAATAATTTGCCCAACTTGGACTAATTTAAACAGCACATAACAAAAATGCTTTTAAAAATAAAATACTTAAAAAGAATTTTTTGGACTACATGAGTGATGAAAACAAATTTTCTACACTATTCTAGAGTAATTAAACACTGTACAAATAATCAATCTATCTGCAAAGAGAAGTTACAACAGCACTACAAAATTTTAACTATTATAAAAAATATTTCTTGGATAGTTTTTAAACAACTGATTAGAAAAAAGGTTTCTACAATACACACACAAAAATACATACTCAGTTAATATAAAAAAATGTTAAGAGTGCAGAATTAATTATTTATACATTATTATAGAACATATTTTAGACAGAAAAAAAATTACCAATGTAGCTGACGCTACAAAATCAAATGAGTTTGTAATCATATAATCTAACACATAATGTAATGATCTGTATTTCTCAGTTGCAGCTGTATGACGGATACGCAAAATGTTCTTAAAGTCAGATGTAAGAACTCGAATCTAAAAGGAAAAAAATGACACAGAATCAAATTCTTTAAAAAGATGCTTCAATAAAACATATAGCTGAATACATACTATAAAAACAGAAGAAATAATGTAATAAGTGAAACTGGAATGATTATGATAATCTGTAATTCTTCATTAGAGAATACACTGCATATCAATTCATTGCTATTCTGAATTTATTTCTGAATGAATCTACTGCATTTTGATTTCTAAAAAAAAAAATAAAATGTTTTGCATCAATAAGTAATTTTTAAAAATAAGGCAAAGTAGCAACTTCATGTATGGCATAAAATTTAATCAAAACTATTTATTTCAAGGGCAATCAAGCACAGCTCTCACACTTGTCAGAAGCAAATAAAATTCTGCAAAGAAGGGAAGAGCAATAACCATATTTATACCAAATGAAAAGCCAAGCAAACTGAACAGGAATATTGTATCACATGCCTAGGGAAATAGTAACGAACTATGAAAAATTTTAAAAGTGTTAAGGACAGGATCAGAATTAATATCATTAATTAAACAAAATAAATTTTTGCAAATGTGAAAAGCTTCTGGAAAATCCAATTCACAGATTCAACAAGCTTTGTGGATAATTTTTGCAGATCCAGAGTCAATTTTGTGATTAACTTCTAACCGATTAGCTATAATGTTTGTTCATTTCTTCTTTTTGGACATAAGAGAGGTAGAATTTTAATTCCACTTTAGTTTAGTCAACATATCTCAAACCAGACTACCAAGATATGCTATAAATTCCCCCAAAAAAGAGATGGAAGCTTTAAGAATCAAACAGCAGATTTTTTTGATAGGTGAGAATGTGAGCTGAAAGCTGAACTTCTGGAGAATGCATGGCACTTGATAATTCATAGAAGGATGAAATGGAATTATTACAAAGTTATTAATGTCATTTCTAACAATGAAAAGTCTCCTTTCATAGTAACATGAAAATGACAGAAAATCCTGTGTCGCTGGCAACTGATTTCAAATGACTGAGTTCGTCCGAAACTTTGAAGGTGTTTGAGGATGTGAAACAGAAAAGGAAAAATACAACTAAAAAAAAAAAAGTTTCTATAGATTAAAAGCTTTTATTTAAAATGGATATGATAATTAATGAACTAAAAGGAGAAATACAATTTAATGGGAATAAGAGATTTAATAATTCTATTTACAGAATCTACAAATTTATATCATGAATAATAAAAATATGGGGTGCTCATGATAAATTTAAAAAGATAATATACACATTTGACTATGCAATTAATAGATTTCATTATTTAAATGCCTCATGCTTTTATTATTTGTAATATAAAATTGTAGATGAATCCTGTAAATAGAATTATTTAATCTATTATACTCACTAAGCTATATGATAAATCATTTTTCTCCTTTTAGTGCATTAATTATCATATCCTTTTTAAATATAAACTTATTTTATTTTCCATTTTTTAGTCTCAGTTATACATTATCAATGCTGAAATTTTTAGACATCATTAAAATGCAAGCAATAAATTAAAAGAAAATTATGAAATAAAGAAAAATAATTGAAAATTATTCAGAGAATGAAGAAATTGCTTTGAATATTCAGTTTCTGAAATTGCATGTAAAAACAATATTACAAGAAGCATTTCACTTGAAGCTAAAATGGAAGAGAAAATTAATATCGCCAGTTTGTCATTAAGTGAATCAATATGGCAAACTTTGCTGTAAAGTATGCCAAGGTGACAAACTGAAAAGAAATTTTTCTGCAAGAAATACTTTTCATACCATCTACTTCAAACTGCAATATATTGTTTTCAAAAAATGCAGAAAATCGTTCAATTAATATTTTCTGAAAAGAGGACAAAATGTTTGTTTTATAATCTGTGAGAATTTCAAAACTTCATGTCTGAAACATTTTTAGATGTTGAAATTTTAAAACTATGTATGCCAAATACACTCATGTCCATAAATTAAGGATAATGCAAAATCAGGCAAAGGAAGAGTTAGAAGCAAAACAAATTTGACTTATTTGTAAAGCTTATTTATTAAAAAAAAGGTAAAAGAGCAAAAAAAGATGCTATATGTGTGATATTATTAAAAAAATTAGCCATTTTTTCTCCCTGGAGCAAATTACAAAAAAACACCTATTTACAAAAAACCAACATTACAATGGCTGGTATGATTGTTAATACATTGTATGTCTCCCAGACGATGCAATACAGTCCGTACAACGCTTAGGCATGCTGAATATCAAATTATCCATCTGATCTTGGGGGATATTACACCACTCAAAAAACAACTCTCTCCAAAGTTCCGGTAGACATGTAGAGGAGGTTGACGGGCTGCAACTTGTCGGCCAAGCATGTCCCAAATGTGCTCTACTGGATTCAAGTACGGTGAGAATGCTGACGAGTCCATACGGGTGATATCTTCCGATTGAAGGCATTCACTTACGATGTTTGCAGGGTGAGGACGGGCGTTGTCATCCATAAACACAAATTGTACGCCCATGGCGCCCCAAACAAACATACATGTTGTTCCAGAATGACGTCCCGATAGATTTGGCTTGTCATGGTTCCAATTTGAACATGCAGGTCAGTTCTGGAACCCAGAATAATTCAATCCCAAACGAGCACTCCTGCACCACCGTAACGGTGTCGTTCAATGATGTTTTCTTGGTGGTAATGGGTACCTGGAACTCTCCATATGAAAGTCAGGCGAGAAACTGCAAGCTAAACCTGGACTCGTCGGAAAACATCACACAAGCCCACTGTTGAGGTGTACACAATGCATGCTCTCTACCCCAGGCTAACTGCAGGCGACAGCGAGTTGCAGTAAGTGGAACTTAACTGACAGGTCTATGAGCATATAGACCAATCTGCCCTAAGCGTCTGTACACGGTCTGCCTTGAAATTGTTGTACCAGTGGCTGAAGAGACAGGTCTGAGGCTGTGCTCTGCCTGTTTCTTTTGGCAGTAACTGCCAAATACCGGTCCTCATTCGGCGTTGTAACTTTGGGGCTACCTGTGCTGTAACGTCTACACCATCATCTTGGAATCATTGCCAAAGTCTGGAGATGACACTTTGGTCAATTCCAAGTTCGTCTGATACTTCCAGCTGGGTACGCCCACATTCCAGATGGTCGATAATTCTACCACGTAAAAAATCATCCAAATGCGTCCTTAGTGTCCTAACTATTCGGTTATTGCACTGAAATGCTTATAAAGCGCCTGCGAACAATTTTACTTCTTTGCCTCTATTCCTTATATATCACTCTCGTCATTGTGACGTACCATCGGTGTCATCTGGTTACTTCCTGAAATTTGCATATGATTCTTGAAGATGTGTGTAGTGATTTTACTGGTGATATATTTATTTTAGAGTTCGATTTCCGGGTGACTCCGAATTATCCTTAATTTATGGACATGAGTGTAGTTTAAAAACTGAGCAATTTTCAAACATTTCCCCAAAATTTAGAAATAAAGCTATAGTTTTCATACAAATCTCACCGAAAAGATTTCTTCCCACTGTACTGGATGGTACATACAGTAAAATTTTGATATACATAGTTTGCTCGTTAAACAAAGAATTTGACTGATCCAGCGATCCAGTTCATTTTTCAAATCGAATTTGACAATACCCTTCCTTTCCTTAATATTTTAATAATGCATTTTATTTCAGCAGTACTATTTACTCTAAATCTTTTCTGTCTGCCTCACATACTAAACAAACAAACCCCCCCAAAGGCTTTTTTTTTTTTTTATTCTTATGTATATCATTCAGTCTTTCCCTCTGAACTTCACTTTCTAATAAAATCAATTATTCAAAATAAATTGACATTGACAGAGAATTTTCTCTCATGGTCGTTGATAAAGGCCTTTAAAAAATTTTTCATCTTACTATTAAAGATGACATTCTGCTGTTAGAAATAACACTGATAATCTTGTTGTCCTTTCCATTCCACTCTTTTATCTGTTACAGAATTGCTTGGCTTCCCAGGAAATTTCAAGTCATTTTCTCACCTATCAATAAAAAGACATTGCCCGGGTCTTAAAGATTCCTTTTGGGGGCATTATGTCAGCCCAACTAAAAGAGTATTAAAAGTACGCATCAAGAACATGAATCTTATGTCCAAAAAGAAGTAAATTAATCTTCAATTACTAATTATGGATGGAAATTTAATCACAATTTTGACTTTGTGCCTCTGAAAATGTTCCATACGACTTCTTCAGTCACTGAAAATTGCATTTCTTGGAAGTTTATCACATTCAGAAAAAATTTTCTTCTTTAGGTAATGATATTAATTCTATTTCAATTCTTCTAAATGCTTTTAAGATTTTAATATCTTAATTTTTCATGTTTCATTGCCATTTTCCGATGCTCATGTTCATGTTGCTCCACCCTTTATTTTTGGAATAAATAGGGTTATTGCTCTTCTCTTCTTTGCAGACTTTTTCTACTCCTGACAAACAGGGACCTGTGCCTGAACCTCTCGAAATCATTAATTTGATTTCGAGCTTTGATTAAAATCTACAGCAAATATAAGATTGCTGTTTTGCCTAATTTTTAGTTTTGCTTTGGTATATTTTTTTTTCTTTCAAGAAGTTATGATTAAAAAAATTTCAAAACTTAACAAATTCACTTAGATATAAATTCAGGAAAGTTATAAGATTACAATACAGTGGTTTCTAAACATTAAGCAACATAGCAAACATTAAGCAACAGATAACAACTCAAAAAGTATGCAAGCAAATTTAAGAAAACTTGGTGATATTATTTACACCACTTGTAACTTAAAAACACAAGAAAAATTATATATAATACTTAAATTTTTTACATCAACAAGAACATTAAATCTACCAACAAGGACCAAAGAAGGGCTCATTTACGAGGCACTTAGGCTTGAAGCCTTTATAACCACATCATCAAAGATTAGTAGTATTATCATCAAAAAGAGGTTCTGCAAAGAGGTAAAGATTTAGTGTCTAAAATGTTTAAAAAAAAAAAAAAAAAGTAAACAGCCCTCCACAGTGAAAAAAGGTAAAAAACAATGACTTAATTTAGTAAATTTTAAGATCGAAAAAGGGCCAGAATCAATTTTGAAGGGGTTACATCATGAATTTTGAAAAGCTTCGAAATTTCATTGATCAATGGTCTTGTGGTGTTCACAACACGAGAGTGGAAACACTCGCAAAACACCTTTCACGTCACAGGTGCTTTGGGTCTGGGAGAGGGGGGAAAGCGGGAACTTGTTAGGCGAGTTAGATTTAAAGAGATATAACTTTAAACTTAACCAGAACTTTAAATTTCCTAAATTCAGACATGCAAAATAATTCCTAAATAGTGACCATGATGACTCTAAACAACAATGCAGCATGAGACATCAGCAAGTGTAACAGTGATGTCTCATGCAGGTTATGATGTTGTAAATGAGCTGCCGAGATAGCAATGCCCATTAAATATGTAAAGAAGTTCTAAGCCCCTCTAAGGTTTGGAGGCTAGTGTAATGACTTCGTGGTTCAATAAGGCACCATTTAACAAGACGAAACAAATATTTATTAAAAATAATGTTCAAAGCATAATAGTAACTCAGAGCAGTACATTGCTCCTACAGCATACGGAAATCTACAACCTTCCTCTTCTGAGGCTAACATGCAACTCTCAAGAAATACATTAATTCTTCTCGGAGAAGAGCTACCTGCACCAAGCATGCTCTGTTGATAGCCAAACAATCACCAGATATCACCCCCCCCATCGTAAGATTTTTGTTGATACTATTTGCAAATCAATCATCAATCTGGGAACTAAAATCTAGCAACTGTTTGCGATCAATGAGGGGGGGGGAAGAAAAAAAAAACTACATATGCATTTATACATTCTGCCCTAATTTTCAAATCTCGACTACTATAGACATTTGCAATGTAATACCTACAATGGAACATCAATTTACTACATAAACATATATAAACATAGATAACACATTTTAACTTCACTTGTTCCAAACATTATTATTATTGTAACAATTTATCAATTCTTAACCCAAAGAAACCAAATGGATATTTTTCTTTTATAAACATGTTAAAATA